GGAGAGAGGGAGGGAGAGATGGGAGGGAGAGAGGGGAGGGAAAGAAACAGACGGAGGCAAGGGGCAAGCGAAGAGAAGCAGGGAGCAAGAGAAAAAGGACAATGGGAAGGAGAGCAAAGAGGCAAGGAAGGGCAGAGTGAGAGAGTAGAAGTGATACATACAAATCAACAGATAGGCAATGCGCAGAAGCAAGACTTGACTACATGAAGAAGACTCGTAAGGAATGCAAACAAATGCAGCTGAAACGGTATTCACCAGTTCGCAGTAGCTGATGCAGATCCCAGGGCTCGATCCCTAGTTCCCCGTCTTACCTGTGTACAGTACCGGCGTCAACCCGTAGATTTGAACCTGCGACCTGTAGGACCGCCAGTGGTAGGTAGGATTTCGTAGGTCACAGGGTAGAAGGGATTTGAACTGTAGACCTGTCGGGTAGGAGTCTAGGCAGTCTAGAGGTCGTAGCTATAGACTGTCCGAAGGGTCAAGGTCGTAGCTGCTACTTACTTGAAAGGGCAAAGTCGTAGCTGCTACAGTACCGAAAGGCCAAGATAGAGGATTCTAGAAGTGGCCTTTCGGAGTCAGCCTACGTTAGGGCAGAGGCAAGTGGTCAAGTGGTGGCAGTCCACCTCGTACAGTCAGCAGTCCCAGTCCACCCAGTCCGGTCCAGTCAAGCAAGTACCGTCTGGGACTGTATGCACGATGGGCCAGGGGTTACAGGGCGGACCAACGCATCGCAGAAGTATAAATCAAAAGGCTGCGCCCAGCCATTCATTCATTCATGCGGAAGCCATGCGGAAGTGCTGCCTCAGCGTCTTGTGCAAGGAGGTCTGCTGGAGGCCCGAAGAGGAAGTGGGCGAGAGTGAAGTAGTGTAGCCATAGCGATAGGTAGCGGCAGCCATAGCTGCCATAGCTTAGCTTAGAGTGCAGTGTGTGTGTACTGTGTGAGTGTTTAGAGTGATGCGTGTGGGACATCCAGGGTGATCCAGAGTGTGAACAGTGAGTTGTTTGGGCGCACAGCCGCCATAGCCAATTACAAGGGAACTCTTACCTGGTTACGAAATCTCTGAGTACTGTGTGGGCGCAAAGCGCCAGTTTGCTATATCGCTGTTTACATGCATGAAGATTGTGTTGAGTGGAGTCTGATTTCACAGCGGAAGACTGGACGTACAATGATCTGACTCATCAGACTCGGAGCTCAATGCATCTCACTGATTCTCACACCATAATCCACATGAGAGTGCAACAAGAGGAACATGCATGAATGAAAGATTCAAAGATCCTTCCTTGCACAGCACACACATAGGGATAGACAACCACAGAAGAGAGGGTAAAGTGAGCTGGAGATGAAGTGTGGAGGGAGAAGAGGAAGCAGCGAGAAGCGGTTACAAAGCCCTAAATTTTCAGGGCTTTTAATGGTCTTTACAGCAGTGTTGCACACGCCGACGTCGGCGACCCCTGACTGGTCGGCTGCCGACCCGCCGACCGGTCGGCTGGTCGGCACCTACCGGTTGGGGGTCGTCGGCACCCCGCAAATTTATTATTATTATTTTATTTTTTTTTGTTTTTCGGTCCAGAACCCCTAATAACCCCACGAACACCCCCATACCCACGCCAAATACCCCCATACACCCCCCCAAACCCACAAACCGGCCCCCAACACCCTCATAACCCCCCCCAATACCCCCTATACCACCCCTATACCCCCCTATATCC